CTGGAGGCGTTACATGCTCTCTTCGGATGAAACCCTTAAAATATGGGAAATATGAGGATCAGCGTGCAATTGCACCGCAAGGGGGCTTAAGCGTCAAAAGCTCATAAACTCTGAAAGTCACAGCGCACGTGAGAGACCGGGACCCGGAAGTGTTTAGCAGTTAAGCTTTTTTACCCATAAACAATTCTATTCTGTGGTGCTGAGGCTGAGCACAATAAGAACATTCACACATTGCAAAATTTCTCGTGGCTAAATATCGTACTTTGAGCGGAATCGGGTATATTTTCCGCCGAAATTTTCACACTGTGGAATGAGGACTGGTTCGTATACAGAATCTATCCAGAGACTATGTATCGACCAGGAAAATATTTATTAGCGATAAGCAAGGTGAATTGTGTCAGAATATTTAGCTACTAATTTTTGGGGACGAGACGAAATTCACGATGTTTTGGGAGAATACTGGCAACGCCGCACGAGAGAACAAATTGGAGTCCTGCCAATGAGAGTCCCCCGGCTTGTGTATTTAACCGCCCAGCGGGACCAAAGCTCGTTTAGTGCCGGGAATAAGGAAAAGGAAAGCTACAGTGGTGAGGCGCGAACGATCGATTATCGATACTTCCCCGTTTGAAGCCATGGTAAAGAATCGATTTTTAGGGCGTTCGTTGAGAACACCCTGATTATCGATCCTTTTCCATAGGTTTAAACGGCGGATCAAACGATATATCGCAAAGCACGATACTGGAAAGCTGGCCCCTCTTTCTGCAGCTTTTGCCAGGCGAGTCCAATTCGCAATCTCAAAAAAGGGAAAATAACGATAAAATTTAAAAACCCGAAAAAACAGACCAAGGAAGAGGGGATTTAGAATTATTTTTCAAAAAACTTGGATCTCTTGCTGCGTTTTGACATTGATGTGAATGGTGTCCTGTGGGCCGACGAGAAGAATACCAATTTTCGGAGGCAGAGAAGAAGAGATCACCTGATATTTTTTTGATAAGACAACGCTGATTGCGACGACACTGCGGAAAATGCATGTCCGGAGACCGCGGTGCTCTGCGGTGAGAAAAATTTCTTCCTCTCGAGGGGCCGTTTTTATTCCCCAACCAGGGTGTCTACTAAAGCAGGCTGGTCAAAAATAAGTACTTTCACAGTACTTTTTCACTACATTCTCGAGAAATTCAGTACCTCCTCCAACAGAAAAATTCCGTATTTTTTTAGTACCTCCATTTGAAGAAGTTAGAAAAATTTCGAAAATTTGAAATTGCGACAAAAATGACAAAGTAAATAAGAAAATTCCGGACCTTTTTGCGGAATTTCCGCACTTTTTCAGTAATTCCGGACCGCCCTTACAAAAACCAGTACTATTGCCGGACTTTCCGGATATTCCGGACTTGTAGACACCCTGCCCGACGGACCGACGCACAGTGAAACGGACAAGTGGAAGAGGTCGAACATGAAATCTTTGACTAAACTTTCAAAAATTCATGTTCATTTCGTCACAAATTTAATGTCAATGGGTGTTTCTGAAAGGAAATTCCACGAAAAACCCAATGGAGCCACTCTGAAAATTTTTTGCTTCATATTTTTGAAAATATAAGCTTTCGATGTTTCCAGATTTTATGCGACTTCTCCTATCGACTCGGTCCACTGTGCGGCGCCTGCAAAAAATGATCCAGCTATTCGCAAATCGCGATAAACACGAGGAAAATGTGCGGTGAATAGCTATTGAAACAATTTTCGAAAGTTTTTTTTATATACATATATTTTTGACGTGGGTATGGATTTATGGACTACGGACGTAGGTACTCACTTCTCTCGAAGTTGTTTTTCGAAAAAACATGCCACAGAACACGAGCACATCGAATATCGATGTATTGATTGATTTTCATAACATCGACAGATTTCGATACGTCGCGGACTTGGACATTTTTTGTACTTTTAACGAATTTGGAATGTAATAATTTTCCTTTTCTAGGTTTACGAATACCTACAGACTTCTTCCATTCTTTTCCCTTTTTCTACCATTTTTTTCCTTCTTTACTCAACGATTTTCTCATTTTCCTCTGTCTTTCTCATTTGTATTTCCTTTCCTCACTTTCTTCCTCCCTTATCTTTCTTCTTCCACGTGTTCTCCTCAACACTTTAGAAGGCGGGGCAAATCGCAAGTTTTGCCGCGAAATCGGGCATTTTGCCATAAAATCAGCCGGACTTCCGTCAAGCGAATCGAAAACGCCGCAAGGCAAAAACGCTGGCCCGCGGCAAACTGTCGACGTTTGGGAACTTTTTGCGTCCCAGACACGTCCAACACCTTTGGATAACCCTTAAATTGCAGGGTGCCTACGGCTCTGCGTTCATTCTTCCACAAGGTTAGTGCAGGTGCAGTTGTTACCAAAAAATTACTTTTCAAAAAACCATCAGACTTTCCCGACATTTTTCTCCAACAGTCTTAAAAAAATGAAAGAGAGAGAAAAAAAAGAACTAAAGATGGGTCCTGTAAGAACACCCGAGAGTAAATGGTCACGGATTCTCTTTCCTTGGAAGCTTTAAATTGTAAGCCTTATCCAAAGGAAAGTGCATCTCGTCATATGGATTACATTTCCAAATAAGAAACCACTATTTCTGGCTCTCCCATGAAAGCACATATCTGTATAGGGAAACCAATGGAGTGTATGTTGTTTCATAAATGGCCAGAAATAGTGGTTCCTTATTGCAAAATTTAATCCAAACTTACGTTTAATTTTTCTGACCTTCTGTTTCTGTTCTAATACCTATTCAAATTGAATAGAATTAATAAAATTTTAAAGTTAAAAATGTGTTTTTTTTTCATTGCTACGAATACATTTTCTTTAAAATTTTTAGATGCGCTTAACTGAACTTCAGCTAAGATTCTCGAAAAAAAATATAGAAAACAATTTGGGAGTTATTCCTGAGAATTTAAGTTTTTTTCAAAATACGTAGATTTGCCTATCTCTAAATGTTAAAATGTTTTCTCTTCAGTGCAGTGGAGTTCACTACTGGATTAGTTTTCTACATTAATTGGACGCAAAAGGTTTAAAATGATTAATAGGTACTTAATATATGTTCCGATGGATTTTCCAAGCTTTAAAAGTTCCCATACCTTTCCCTCTTTTGAGATCTTACAGATCGTGAAACGTGGAATGCTCACCAGACTGAAGAAGACAGAAGATAATTATCTGAATTTTTTTTACTAATATCTGATACTGAATAAATAAGTAATTAACGCTGGAGATAAAATCTTTTGTTGGGGAGCCACTCTGTAAACTTCTAGGAGCATGTGCGTGTTGTAAAACTAGGAGAACTAAAGCAGTATTTTACAATTGTACACTATTTTACAGCATTTGTTGGCATTGTTGACAGAGTCAGGAAAACTAAATCAAAAAGCATGAGCAACGTGACTTTGCTTACTCATGAACTGAATTTTAGTATCCACTTTAACGAATCTTGAACATTCTGTGAAAAAGATTTTCAGCGCTTTTTCGTTCAAGCAGTTTGTCTACCCCTATTGCAAAGTGGTACGGAGGCTATGTGTTCGTTTTTCACTTGACTGCTTGACGAAACGGCCAAAGAAGCTAAGTTTTGAGTGGTAATGGATTTTTAGAAGTAGACGCAAAAAAATTTACATGCATGAAGTCTCCAATTCAAGGTAAGACATAGATACAAGGATGAAACACGTAATGGAACTGCAATAAAGTGGTTAGAGTCAAAATTCAGCTGCATCCGAACTTGTAACAATCCCATGATTACACACTGCAAAACATGACTGGTTTACTAGGTACGCAAAACTGCACTGATAACTTCTTTAGTCATCTTGTACTACTGCATTTTCTTAACAGTTTAAAAACTAAAAATTACTAAAATTATAGCTCTTTACCATGGCAAATTAAAAATTTAGTGAAATATCTGTTAATGGACTCTTCACTGATTTTACTGAAAAAACTCCTGAATAACGACAGATGCAAAAATTCCCTGACTTTTCCTTCTCTTAACTGGAGGAGAATCTTTTAAGAACTATGAATGCTGAACTGGCGAAGCATGCCAAAATGTTCTGGCTACTCACTGACATTGCAGGAATATGAATTAAAAGTCCATGATCACCAGAGCCAGGCATTTCAGACAGTGATTAATTTCCATCTCAAATGCGATACTTCTTCCCTACACAAATTCTGCACTTGTTTCTTTGAACGTTGGAAATTTCCAACTTGCAAATGATACTTTAGACTTACTGACAGGCAGCACTTCATTCTCATTATTTACTTTTTCTTACTTCTTGTGTATGCTCTGCAATTTAAACTATGCCTGTGCTTTTGAGTTACATTAGTAAGGTACGCAAAAATCCAAAACCTCTAACATTTTTTGCCATATTGCGTTCTTGCCTTACAGCCAAAAGTCAATTTTGCCTCACAGAAAAATGCCTGACTTCATGGCAGAACGTCCAGTTTCAAAGAAAAATATGTTGTACTTATGGTCCACCTTTTATAAAGAAATAAGAGGTCATCACTAGAGAAAATTGCCTCTTCACCCAGGATTTGCCTCAATCTACAGATTATGCAGGACTACAAAATAGGGTACTTCTAAATAATAACCATCAGGACATTAGACCACTGGACAGAATGCTGGTAACGCTCAAGGACTTCAGTCATTGTAGAATTTTATCAGACAAAATCTCGAATTTACATATCTTTAAGTACAAGGAAAATCCATACCTTTTCCGTACATCCGTACCCACTTTCTGAAATCCGTGCTTTTTCAATGCGTCCGTACTATGTTTGAACAGTAGACACCCTGTATTTACTCACTGAGGAGGAAATTCCCTAATAATGCCAAAAGACTCACTAAACTTGGAGCACAACCATCCTCTTGTAAGCAAAAAATCGTCCAATAAAATTTGGCGATATACATAATGTTCTTTATCAAGGAACTTTGCCCACGTCATCTGAATATCAATATAGTAGCGAAGCAAATAGAGAGAAGTGAATTCTTACCAGTGCTTGGGAAGTATCTCATGAAGCATAGATCTTCTTCCAGTGCATTGGAAACATCGAACTGAAATGAAAAATAATTTTATGGATTAGTTAAGAAAATAAATACTAAAATATTACTACAACGTACAATTTCACTGATCATAAAGGTAATACGAGGGGACTTTTCTAAGCATACATTTTGGACCCGTAAACTTGTTCTTGGGTATTATAAGGCTGCTTGTATCCAAAATTCTTCATGAAACTGTTGGATTCAAATAAAAAATTGATCCTCGAATTTTTAGCAAATTAATCTTGTTTTCTCAATTATACGCCTCATAACATTGAACTAAGTCAATCAAAGTTGTTAAAAGTTTTTAGGTACTTATTGATGGTCATGTTTCTCACGCACTTTGATGAAAATATTTTTGAGCAATGTTGCAGCAAAGATGTAAAAACAATATTACACTAATATTGACAATTTGCTGCAATTGGAGTATAAAGAATTGAATAAGCATCGCTCCATGACAACACGACAGTGAAAAGGAGATCCCCAAACATAGAAGTTCCTTTGCGTAGCAATGACTCATGATTATCAAAACATCAACTAGTAGCACTCAATACACACACTAACATTGCAGTAGAATGCCACCAGTATACCTAGGATCTTAAGTACTTCTAATGCTAGCAAATAAGGAACAATCCATGAGTCTATTGTGCACGTCTCTTTCATGACATGTTTACAGGAACTAACATCCTTACAGAAATTACACGTAAATACCTACTGAGAGTACCTAAGACTAAAAAAATGCTAGACCGTAATCAAAAGACTTCTACATCTATGCTATAAGAGTAATTGAAGTCAACCACTAAATAGCCATTAATTACGTAGGTAAGTTGTATTTCAATTTCAGTTCACCTGAGCAGAATGTTTTTTCCTTTTAATTCCACCATAGCAACAAACAGCTGATGGTTCTCATCCGTGGCATGGCATGCTTTGCAAATTATGGAATGATATGCTATTTAAACCTATGACAAAGGATCGATAAACAGGGTGTTTGCAATGAATCCTTTAATAATCAATCCATTTACATAGCTTCTAAGGGGGAAATGTCAATAATCGATCATTCACGCCACACCACTGATTCTCATTGGAGGCAATTAAGCCCAAGATAGAGAGAGTAATAGTACAAACTATGCAAATTTTAACAATTAAACATATCATCAGAACTCAGAAGCGTAGCAAGGCGTCTTACTGCTCACTTACACATGAGATAGGTACCCAAGACTATTCGTGAAACGCATGAACTACACAAGAAGGGAAGCAGAATATTCGATTTTTACTTGTGGATACTTGTAGGATGAAAGCAAGAGGCAGATCAAATATCAAGCCACTGTCAGAGCCATGTCTTAACGGTATACTGCCCATAGATAAGACGATTGAAAGTAAGGACGTGTGATACAAAGTTTGTTCTCAGTCTGCAAAAGCTGGCAATATATTTAATGAAATCACATTGAGGCCTGCCAATGATACGTATTTATCGTTCTCAAAAACATAATAATGCCAAAATAAAGTTGCAATACAACTTGATGACAAAATATGAAGTGGTAATTAACAATATCGAGTCAGTCGACCTAAAACCCTGACGGATTTGGTACTTTGGGACCCTCAGTGTTAATCCCAGAGAATATATGAACTAAGTGGAGCTCACAACTAAAAGGAGAACAGAAAATCAACAAAATTTTGCAATTGTAACTAATTCTTGGGTTGAGCTAAAGGCTCAGTATACAGCAGACATGTATTCTATCAACCCATGATTGATTTCTGAGGCAGGCAGACCTTGCTTATCAGGGACAAGGCCATGGTCTAGGGGGCAGGAAAATTGACTTAAGTTGATGAATGAAAGAACTAATTTACCAATTAGAATAAGAATTGGATTGAAATTTACGAACCTGATGTGAACAAGAAGTATTATCTCTGATACACAATCCACTGAGAGTGGGTACTTGCACACAAGTTGAGAATGCATGGCACAGAACACAAAATACGAAATATACGTAGAAACTATTATTGACCACTATCTTAAAACACTTTTCAGCAAATTTATAAACAGCCATTAGAACTAAGCAAGCATAATAACAAAATTGTATTTTACATTTTGACTATCTACGAGGTCTCAAGCACACAAAACACACCATTTAACCTAAAAACACTGCAATAACAAAGTTTGAGCGACGCGATAGCCCTGGAGGGGGAAGAGGAAAGTTGCTCGGCTTAGGGGAAGGGAGGAGCGGGGGTGGAGGAGACTTTGGGGTCCGGAGGGGAGGGGAACAGGAAAACGTACCAAAATCCTTGGGGATATTTCTTTTTTGTGGCCTTAGCCTTACATTTACATTCTAGTTCGTAGTGCGTGAAATCCAAAAACGGAAAAAAATTAATCTCACAAAGCTCAGATCAGCTTGATGGCTAAATACGAATGGTACAGCATAGGCAATTCTAACGGAATTTGTGCCCTAACAATACCTTGTGAACGTTGAATTGAAACACATACTTGAGGAAGAATATATTCCGCACTTTTTCCTGCTTAGCCCCCCCCCCCCCCCCCCCCNTGAAAACCAGTAAGATCAAAATTGATAAAAACAAAGCCACTACCCCCCCTAACTTATTGGGGATAGACCGCAGAATTGCATAAGAAAATAAATAATATCACTCAGGTTGAATGTGCAGTGGAGTTACAAGAGAATTAGCTATAATAAAATTATCTGAATCAACTAAAATCAAGGGAAAAAAACAGATTAAAAATAAAAATATAATTATAAAAAAGATAAATCCAAAAAGATCTTTAATTACATAATAGGGATAAAAAAAGACTTTATCATAAGACCCCACTAGCCCTAAGGGGTTATTAGATCCATAAACGTGAAGGTAGATCAAATGAATAAAAATTAAGAACATAACTAAAAATGGGAAGATGAAATGGAAAGAGAAGAATCGATTTAGAGTAGCATTACCGACAGAAAATCCTCCTCAAATTCAAAAAACAATAGTTTCACCTAATCTAGGAATAGAAGAAATCAGATTAGTGATAACTGTAGCTCCTCAAAAAGATATCTGTCCTCAGGGTAAGATATATCCCATAAAAGCAACTATCATTAAGAATAATAAAATAAAAATTCCACTGAATCACACCATTGTTTTTTTAAAAGAAAAATAAAAAATACCACGCCCAATGTGGACATAAATAAAAATAAAAAAAAAAGAAGCTCCATTGATATGAGCATAACGAATTAATCAACCACTATTAACATCTCGCATGATATGAATTACTCTATCAAAAGCAACCCTCACATTAGCTGAATAATGAAAGGTTAAAAACAGCCCAGTTATAAACTGAATTAACATTGAGAGACCTAGTAAGGACCCAAAGTTTCAAAAATAGGAAATATTAGAAGGAGACCCCAAATCTACAATAAAATTATTAATTTGAGCCAAATTAGATTTACGAACAGACTTATAGTTATTATACATTTAAATTTTTATTCGCAATGGACCTCTGCACTTTTTGATAATTTCATAAATAATCAATAAACAAAGTAAAAGATAAAAGATAAGAAAAAATGAAAATATACTAAAAGGAACTAGCATAAATTTAAAAACAAAATAAAATTCATACAAGTTGATTTTAAAAATTGAACCAAAAATAGAAAAATAAATGAAATTAGATTTAATAATTTGCCTGAACAAACCACCCAAAATTAAGATTCAAATAAGTCTTAAATAAAATTTATAAATTCTAGAAATTTTTTCAACAATAATTACACCACACATGTAAGCCAAAAGAATTACAGTTCCTCTTATAAATAACATAAATAATAAAAATCTATAAAAATAAGAGTTAACAATAAATACAAGAAAAATTCTCGAAAAAATAAGACATAAAATAAAAAATAAAATTAAAATCACTAGACTAACTGTGTGTATGCAAACATTTCAAAGTCATGAGTTGAAAAACGCTGACTCCACGAAATTAAATATTAGAGCCTAACACAAAGCGGAGCGGCGCGGCGCACTGGCGCCTGCAAACCTAACAGGAATACTACACGCATTGCGCAATGCGTGAAGTATCCCTGTTAGGTTTGTAGGCGCCAATGCGAGTTTCGCGCTGGCTGCCCGCCCGCCGCGCCGCGCCGCGCCGCAGCGTACCACGGCGCTTGAAGCAACTATTTCACACCAGAGGTATTGCACAGTATCATACGAAATTGAAGGCGCTCACTAAGCTTGAAAACTCACTAAGTCCTAGCATCCGTAATTAGTAACGTTTAGCATACACTTTATCGCCAGGGTGTTGCTTACTCGCCATCGGCTATAAAAGGCTGTAAGAAATTGTGTTGCCGGCTGTAGGTCTATGTTATTTTGGAACACAGCTTCTACTGCCAATTTTTACCAGGGTTTACAGCTCTCGTGGTGGAGAAAATCGTAAAGAATCGTATATGAAAGTTTCAAACAAAAGGAGGGGGGATTGCATCGATGTTCTTGAAATGTGATCATCCATTAGGGGAGGGACTTCAGTGTTCAGAGACAATTTTTTTAGGATAACAAGTTGTGCCTCGATTCATAACAGCTCTTGTTTATTACAGAAACCACCCAAAAAAATACAATCGTAAAATATTGAAAACTGCCAAACCACTCATTGGTATGCGTGAGAGTGGCAGGGTTGCGTGATGCCTATCAACTTATAGGAATCAGGTCGTCACTCAATTTTTAATTCATCTTCGAATGTTTAAAAAAAAAATAGAAGCAATTTCCTGTACCGGTCAAATCTGGAGATCTATCAGGCCGATTCTCACGATTTTTTTTTCGTGTGCAGCGATGCGTGTGAGGATTTGCCAGATTTAATCAGATTCAAGCCTTTGAAATTCCTTGATTTTTTAAAAACAAGAGAGGTTCCGTTTACGAATGGGTGCTTTTTCCTGGACTAAAGGTTTTTCCAATTCTGCAGAGAAAGAAAAATACATATAAAGATGCGCGCTCGAATTTTTCTTGTAGTGTCGAAATGACTTTGCCACATTCGTCGTTCTTGGATCAGAGAAAGCAGGGGCCACAGCCCACATTTTAGGTCTGAGGCGTTTTTATACAAGACAATCAGAGCATTAGTCAGAAAATTGGCAATGTCGCGATTAAAATCAGTATTAGTTTACTTCATCGGCACAATAGGCAACAATGGAATTAAGTAGGTTACAATGGTAGAGAAACAAGCAAAGCTCCCTTAGAAAGTGCTGAATGCGACGAACACTGTACAAGTGTCATTTTAACTCCTGGATGCAACTATTCGAGCTCCATGGATGTCCGTGTTGCATATGTACGGAGTTGAAGGCGTTTTGACTGTCTAGGCACTCACCGCTTATCCGCGGCGCGGCGGCGCCAACAGCGGACTTTATTGCGACTGCGAGGATCCAAAATGCCTTTGCTCTTTCAATTCTTCGTTTATAGATACTTCCATCAAAGATAGGTACCACCTAGACACGAATAGCTGCACACAGCGACAGGATATGAGTATTTCTTCATCCGCAGTTTTGACACCGCAGTGTATTGTACTGAGCATGGTTTGTAGTGTAACTATCTATGTGTACGAGGTATGCCTTCGTTTTCCGAAGTATAAATGAAGTTTTGAGGGCACTCCGTCATTTTAGATTCTCGCAGTAAAAGCCGTCGGACAATGAAACGCGTCTTTCAGAGCGGTTGGACATAAAATTTTCGACTACAACTACAAATTTTGATGTTAATTTCAACGCATTAAAAATTGTATGGGGTGCTTCTTGGGGGAAATTTTACGAGAAAATCCATGAAACCACTTTTAAAACCTCTTCATCCCGTATTGACATCGATATGAGCTTTCGATGTTTCCACATTTTCTTCCTACTCCTCTCGTTATAACTCGCTTCACTGAGCGCCGCTGTTGAGGCAGTTAGTCGCCTGAAGTCAAAACGCCTTCACTATAGTGAGTATGCAATACGGACATCCATGGAGCTCGATTAGATGCATCCAGGCGATATGATGAAAATCGTTGTGTGTCCGTTGCATGCGACAGGAGCGCAGAAAATAATTGAGCGCGCAGGGGCTCGCGCGTGGCGAAGGAAAATTTTCGATGGTGACTATTTATTTTTCTTCTTTTCCATTAATTTGTCTTTTTATTTCTCCTCTTTACTCATTTTCTTCTTTTCCGCGTTGTTTCCTTTCTAACTTTTTTCCCTCCATTTTCCCTCCTCTTTTTCTCCCACGGAAAAGAAGAGACAGGGGTTAACCCCTAAAATTTTGGCACTACCCCAATTTGTTGGATGATATGGACATTTCAAATTAGTTTTGGTAGCACCGCAACTCAAGTTGGGGTGGTACCGCAACGTTTGGGTTAGTAGCCTAAATTATCGGGATACTACCACGATTGATTGGGATACTACCACAATTAATCGGGGTATTGCCACAATTAATTAGGAATGTCCATATCATCCAAGAGTTGGGACTTAACCCCTACCTCTTTTTTTTTCCCCGTGCCAATTTTCACTCTACTTTTGCTTCCTCATACTGTCTAATTTTTTTCAAACCCTTTTTTTCTTCCTTTTTAATTCTCTCCAAAAAAAACAAAAAAAAAAAACGCGCACTTCTGACTTTTCTTGGAGGCGAGGAAATTTCACAGAATCTCTCTGGGAATAGTGTCTCACTAAGCAATAGGTTTGACTAATTTTGATCGTGCATTTTCTAAAGCCCTATGGCGACATCTAAATTCCTACATCTGAACATCACGTGCGAAGCAAAGACGACTGACGAGTATTGCTGCCTGTGTAAGGTGCATGAGCTTTGCCGTTCCACCTCGATACTGGATTTTTGACAGTGAGCATTGCGGCTGTGCCGGCTCCGCGCTGCGACAAAAAGAGCGCTGAATGCGCTCCCTCGTCACCCTCGTGATCTTGCTCCTTGCTCATTCACCCCTTGCTTCAATAAAGCATTCTCGGTGACTTCCATCAACGCAAATCGTGTCAATGGGAGCTAAAGAGAGCCGAGGCGCCTTCAATTTTTTGCGTATGCGGTACAAACGCTCGTAGAGCACGAAAAATTGCATACACGCCCGGGCGTTATCGTCTACGTTATTTTGCGCCTGCCACTGAACAAAGATACTGAAAGAGGGCGCTTTTAATAGTGCATGAATTGCATTTTTCTTCATTACATTATATTTTCTATCCTCCTCTAATTTTCTGTTTTAATGTAGGTGCGCTTTAACCCATTCTATGAGGATTCCTAAGGCTAACATAAGACTAATGAAACCCCAGGATGCAAAAAATATATAAAATTGATCAAATTTTTGCGTGAGTTTGATTGAGGCTTTATTAAATTTTATTAATAACGACGAAAATTTATCAAAATTCAATTAATGGAAAGCAAATGAAAATTTCAATATGATGCGACAAAAACAATTCTCAGCCATCAGTTTGGCGAAATTCATTTATCTCTTTATTTTTGTCTGTAATCGTCATTTTTTCACTTTTTTTTCCATTTTATTCCTCAATTTTTTTTTAACTGGACACGTACTTTTCTGGTGTAACGCCCGCAAGTTTTTTGTTTTCTCGACAAGAAATACCCTATTCTCTGATTATTCGGCCGAGATTCATAGAGGCTAATAGTTGCGATTAATATTGTCCGAAACGAGAAAAGAGTATTTATAATTTTGGGAAAGAGCCTTAGTGGTGTTGCACTGTCACACGGGCACATGGGTAGCCCCCGTATCTCCGAGTATGTGTATCTTCCGCCCACCTCAGGAGTTTCGGGTGGAATTTCAGCTCAAAAATTTCTGTCGCTCGCTGAATTCGCACCGAGTCAGGATAGGTAGGCGAATCTTAACCGTGGAGTTTTGGCGTTTTTCCTGCTTTCGTACACGGCTCGCTCGGTACAATTTCGTCTTTCATGCGAGGGCAACGCCCGGGTGCTGATGTTATAGCATCCAGCTCCAGCTTAACAACTCGTTGAAACTTTGGAAGTCATCCCTCGCCAACATTTCGTGGGAGAGAAGGGGGCGGTCGAAATTATCACGGAGGCGCCGAAAACGCTACAATGAAACTTATTCATACTTTTGAATTTTAAGAATGGGTGTTTAAAGATGAAAGAAATAGAAAAAACAAAACAAGTGCCGTTCGATACCTTCATGCATCGGGAAGCAATACACTGCCGGACAGGATTATAATAATTAAAACCCCACTATAGGCATTTCTTTCAAATAATTGTTTTCTTATCTCTTTTTTCATATTTCGTTTACAAAAAGTTTTTCTTTAATTTTCTTTTTTCCTCCTTTTCTTTATTACAATTTTTTAGTTTGTTTTATTATTTGTTTTTTCCCCTCGTTTTTCTTTCTTCTGAACAAAATTAGAAAAAAACTCGAAGCCTCATCACAAGAGATAATATGGTCAAAACACCCAAAGGCACCTATGTAAATAATTTTTACTTTTTGTCCCTATTAAGGAGATGTAAAATAAAAAGAAAGTTGGTTACATGATGAAGTTTGCCCATAAAATTTACAATTTCACTGAAAGAGTTCAGAAAACTTTCTAATTAATAGTTTACGCCCCATGTTGGGTACTTAATTAAAAAGAAAGGAAGAAAGGAGGAAAAAGAAGAGAAAAGAGAAAAAAATGAAAGACAATCCGACCTCAATAGGAAATCACTGGCCCGCCCTCTCCTCCCACTTTCCCCTGAGAAAAGAAAAACCCCAAAAACGCCGACATCGATTGAAAGACTAAACCGCCTCTGATAACTTCCGAGACAGCTAGACATAATTGCCAAATCGCATGCGACTGTTCCATATTTTCATTCGTGTGGTAGTCCCGGACATATGATTTGGTACGATTTTGCATTCCACCGGACTGAACGGCACGACAGTGAGGCCCGCCAACGAAAACAGCGTAAGTCAAAATCCTTGGATGGTCTCTGAACCGTGTTATAAGAATCGTCTTATTGAGCCCAACTAGATAGGCAAATAAGTCATTTCGACAAAACAGTTATGGATAGGTGAACAGTTCGACCGGAAGAATCCGTTCCCTCCTTATTCCTGTGGCTCCCTTATCTTAATTTTCTAATGTAATTACCCATGTAAAAACCCTGATTGTTCCCCGACCTCACTTTATCGGCGGTTTTTTTAGGTTATTTTTCGTGTGCCATCGGGCACTCAGACACACATTTCATATGACAGTCAGGAAAATTTGCCTGTGCAGTTTGTAGAGGACCTCAGTGCATACTTGCAGTTAATTTATTCGTTCTCTTCTTGTTTTTATTATAATCTTTTTTTCTATTCAAGAGTTACGATGATATTTTGCTTAATACTCTGTAGTCTTTTTGTATCAACGGTAAGTCTTCCGATTTTTCTATGTTTGCACTTTATAGCCCGAAATGGAAGTCGCTAATGTGCCGCTTGAGTGCAGCTAGGGTATATTGGTTCCTCCCGCCGTACCACGGGAAGGGATAGTTGCCCGAAATTCACAAGTAATTGGAACAACGTGGGAACAAACAATCAGGCTAACAATAAAGCACCCGCACTGTTGGCGCGTATACGTAGTATACCGCCTTTGCGATCGTTTCGACCCCCCCCCCCCCCCCC